GTAAATGAGTGAAAACTGCAGAGTTCTGGCCATTAGATGTAGCTCGTCTGTGTTGGGACATTCTTTTGAACCGTGGCTGCTTTGTTTCCCCGATGTACTATATGTTGTTCACTTTTTTTTTTACACAGAGCTGAAATTCTATATAATAGAGTAGGATCAGAGAACAAACTGTAAATACAAAATCCAAGATCCTCAACCCATTTGTCAGTTAATTAGGGGAGGTACCTGGTGTGGCCAACCAGGTGCCAGAGGTAACATTTGCCACCCCGGCCACCCCTCTGGCTCCGCCACTGGGTACAACATTTGAAGCTATAATGCATTGATGCAGGTTTGTATTTTGTGTGTTCTCTTCCCATGAATAAATATAGCAGTTCAATGGAAACTTCTGCACACCGGGTCAGACAGGACGCAGAAGGAATCCACAGCTGGATGACCCACCTCACTCCTGGACTTCAGCGTGCTCCGCTTTGGCCGAAGAAGGACATCCTTGAAGTCCAGCTTGATGTCATTCTCAATGCGAGGCATTTTATTTTAAATAGAACAAAAACAACTAAAGAGTGACCTGAAGCAGCTGGTCCTTGAAGGAGGCACTGCAGGAGACAGAGGTCAGRTGTCAACATGGTTGTTCACTTTTTGTACTGTAATATTCACACAGACTTAAGTTTTAATTAAAGTAAAACGTGAGATAGAGAGCGGTAGAGCAGTGAAAGGTTTAATAACAACACAAAATCAAATTTGTAAACACACTTCTTTTATTTTCACCTAAAATGTAATTACTAATTTGTGGCAATGTGGTTTCCACGTCATGGTTGTGAATAAGCGCTCTTAGACCTGGTCAAAATTCAAGGTTACACTAGTTTACGGAATAACGCTTAAATCAGTTAATTGTCACTCAAAGAGGTTTATACAAACATAAGCTAATTTTCACACTACGAAGGAAACGAAGAGCAAAAAATAAACGCATTTACCGTGAGAAAAGTATGATGGATAAAACGTACACCGAACTACCTCCTCCACTTCCTTTCCTCCACTTCCTTTTCCACTGTTAGCGCGGGAAGTTTTACAGCGGCGGACACCGGCCGAACACAACTTGTAGTTTTTAAGAACGTCATTTTAAAGGTGACAGGTGGGGCAAAAAACTACAAAACGCAAGCGTCGCTTTACGTCACATTGCGCTGATGTCGTAAAGGTCAGTCGAGACTCTTTTTAGACATATAACTTGATTTAATTTAGCTGTGAATGTACTTAGGGTTGTTTTTGTCACGTTTGGTTAATTTCAGAACGTAATTGTTAGTTTTAAGTCGAGTAAATACCAGCCGGAACGAGTAAAGCGGAACTGTCGCACACGTAGACGAGGCGACGGTGGGATTCAATGAATAACACCGGAAATATCAGTTCAATTATTTCTGGAAGCTTGTCATCCGAAATAGGAACTGAGCATTTGTTTTTCACCTCATAGGAGGCCAAGCAGTGTATTTAGTTAACATACAATTGTATTACTATTAAACTTTTGTGTTTTTTTTGAGAACAGTTCAAGAAAGATGTTGATTAAAGTGAAGGTAAGTTACATAAAATATTAGCCAAAACAACTACTTTTTATGGACATTTGTTTTTATAGACCCACTCTGAATTTATCATTAACTTCAAAGTATCTTTATCACAGACACTGACTGGGAAGGAGATAGAGATTGACATAGAACCCACAGACAAGGTATGCATCTGTATTTTCAYATTTGTTAAATTGTTTGAGCTTTATATGTTTCATTGCTGATTATTCCTGCTATAGGTGGAGCGCATAAAAGAACGAGTGGAGGAGAAAGAGGGAATCCCTCCTCAGCAGCAGAGGTTGATTTATAGTGGAAAACAGATGTAAGTTTAAGACACATATCATTAAATACGATAACCTCAGGGAAGTATTCTTTTGAGTACTTAAAAGTGCTTTAAAAGACAAAAACAAAACATTAAACCTATCACAGGGAATAACACTGACTATAAAAGATGAAGACAATAACACTAGATGTAAAATCAATTTACAAATCGCTAAAAAAGTGTCAGCAAAACACATTCTTTCAAAAATATTACACATCCAGTGTAAATAGGTACAAACTTTACCTCATTTCCTCCATATTTCACAGGAATGATGAGAAAACGGCAGCGGACTATAAGATCCAAGGAGGCTCAGTTCTACACCTGGTACTGGCCCTGAGAGGAGGAGGAGGAGGAGGAAGACGATGCCTGCTCTGCCAAGACTTTTGACCCACTCCTACAAACTGATATGATACCTTCAAAGCACCGCAGCATTCGTTTAAAGCAGCTTCACATGGTGACACTGAAGGCAACACGGAGGATTGGTGTCCTCCTCCTTACAGCCTGTAGTGTGTTTCCTGTAAAAACCTTCCCACACCGTAACGTTTCAGTGGCAGGATGTTAAAGCTGTGAGATTATAAGATACACACATACACGCTTTGCAGCGGGAAACTGCTTTTTACACCTTTTTTTCTGTTGTGCTCTGAAACAAGCAAGAATGATTTGTAAGTATATTTCTTCAAAACAACGCGCTCCCCTTAGAAAAAAAGTTTGATCAGATTTTTTTTTTGGTGCGTACAAAACTGGTGGAAGTGAATCACTGAGCCCACACTTCTCTTTCCTCCTGCATTACAGGTTGACTGAATAAGTTTGTGAGTTAATAAACTTGTTTAGAATCCTTTCCTGTGACCTGTCCCACCRTCATGTAGCTTCAGTTTACAAATATTCATGCTGTGTTCAGGACAGCAAGGTTAACTTTACTAACCGCTTCATCAGCTCATGAGGAGAAGACCCCTCGTCCATTGGCCTGTGTTAAAATCAAATATGTGAAAAGCTTTATCTACTTGTGCATGTTTTTAAGCATATGCACACATTAAACACCAATATTTACATATTAAACAGATTAGAGGTTAGATGGGGTTTAGATTGATATGGCGTAATGTAGAAAATATTTGCATCAACAGGCATGGGTTTTTGCAGCTCATTAGGAAACCCTTAATTTGAGTTAAAAAAAATCAGCTCTATGAAGGAAATGATTAAAATTTATATAAGTTAGATTTTAAGGAGGCAATATCTTACTTGCAGTAGATTGCAGTCAGAGCATTCTCTGTTTTGGACACTCAGAGATTTTCATGAAGAAGTCAAGCTGAGAGCTGCAGAGTACAGAGTCGAGTTTAATAATCAAAAACAACTCCATTAGTAGCTTTAATACTTTTTTACCCAGGCTGCATCATTCTTGCATAGTGATCTACATTAGCAGTAATTCTGAAGTTGAGGTATTTTAAAGTGTGGTTTGTTCCGCAACACTTGCCAGGTTAAGTGTACCCAGTCCATGTAAGAATGGGACGATTATAAAATAGTTTWAAAATCCATAACAGCGTTTGTTATAAAGTTTTTAACATTTGAGTTGTTCTAGATGTCTAAAATCCGCTAAGACAAGCTGATAACTTCTCCATGAAAAGTTCTCCGAGTCTCCACCCTCAGATTATTTTGACCTCTGTCTACTGCAGGTAAGATACTATTTAGAGATACTTCAGACACCATTTAAAAACATTTAAAGTATGTACTTAGTTATTCAAATGTGTGCGTTTCAGCCTGCACCAGCAGGGTTAGAAAGGTTATGAACAGTTAACACAGTATTTTACCTGTTGTAGATGGGGATTTGGACAAGTTCAGTTTGGAGAAATTGTCATTTTGATTGAATTGATGAGCTAACGGCTAGTCTGAGTGTGTTAAAAGATTAATGTGGATTGCTGTTGTCTTTAAAAAACTAAAATTTCCCAAATTTCTGAGCAGTTCATGCAAAAACTTAATAATTATTCTGTGAGCAGTTTCTTATTATATGGTTATTCATATATTTATAAACATAGTGGCAGCAGCTTGTTACGAGGAGCACTTCCTGCTAAGGTTGACAACTGGTAATTTTAGTAAAATTAAAGTGTCGTGTATTGAGGCTTGTTTTCCTGTATTTTGACTGCAGCCTGTAATTTGTATTTACAAACACTAGGTGGCACTGCTCTCCTCACATGGACCAATATAAAGAAGTTATGTTGAACTGGGAAGCGCGGTGCTGCCGGGTTTCTGAGTTTCTGAAAGATTATTCCAGTCAGAAGTCACAGCTAATTAGAACAATTTATTTTATAAACATATGGAGAAATCTACAAAGAAACGGAGACCTTGGAACTAAAAAAAGGAATGGGAACAAAAGAATCCGTGGGTCAAAGCTGTCAGTGATGACGTCATGATGCATCTCAGTAATCCAGGTAAAAAATCAAAAAGAAAAAAATTGTATAGGTCTTCTGGACGGGTTCTTCTCTAATGAAACGTTTCGTCTCTCCTCCAAGAGACTTCTTCAGTCTGAGAGTTTCAGGCAAAATTCAGGCTTTTAAGCCCTGCCTCCGTGTGACTGATACATCACATGGCTATCGTTGACACCTAATTAACACTTATTGTTAACAGGGGGTGGAGTGATACTGCCAATAGCCGTGCTGTAGGAGGGGGACAACTGAAAACGGAGGCCTCCACCTCTGTTTAATGATGGACGGTCTTTCTTCACAAAAATGGCTTCTTTTACTCCTCTCTCAAACCAACGTTCCTCTCTATCAAGAATGAGAACATCCTCATCTCTGAAAGAGTGACCGCTGGCCTGTAAATGAGTGAAAACTGCAGAGTTCTGGCCATTAGAATTAGCTCGTCTGTGTTGGGACATTCTTTTGAACAGTGGCTGCTTTGTTTCCCCGATGTATAACTGGTCGCAGTCCTCCTGGCACTTAACAGCATATACAACATTGCTCTGTTTGTGCCGGGGCACCGGATCTTTGGGGTGAACCAGCCTTTGCCGTAATGTGTTTTGGGGTTTGAAAGCTACTGGGACATCATGTTTAGAAAATAAACGTCTCAGTTTCTCCGAAACACCCGCAACATACGGAATAACCACTGGTTTGGGTCTGGGTTTGGGGTCTTCATTTTCACCTGAAGGTTGCATGGAGTCCTGTCTGTGTTTCCTGTCTGCTTTCAGGAAGTCAGTGATGACGTGATTAAAGCTTTTTGCAGCTTGTCAGCGGGAGTTTTTAATTGGACTCTGAGGTGAGAACGATTTATGTTGTAATTCTGTTTTCAGTGACGTCTGCTTGAAGTTGCTTTAAAAACCAAATTTGGCTATAAGCAGCTGAAACATGCGGGAAAAAAGATAAAAACATGTTTATTAAATCCCCTTTAATTCATCATGTTACATAAAAATATCAGAAACATGATTAAATCATGTTTAGGTGGATGTAACTCAAATGTTTGGGGAAATAAGAAATTTTGTGTGATGATGGCCTCCCAGTTGACACATTACATCATTAAGCCCCGCCCCCTGGCCCAGAAGTTGTGTTGACAGGAAGCAATGAAATTTTTGAGACTGAAGATGTTTTACCATCCGCAGAGTAGTCATTACAAATCAGTCTTTTCAAAATTAAACACTGTTTTTTTTTAAACGTTGCTCAAAAGACGATTACAGGTAAGATATTGTTTGTTTATAATGGTTCTGCAGAACCATCACCGCAAAACGACCAAATTTAAAATGATCCTGCCTCAATAAATCAACCTGTTAACATATGAGGGACAAATTCAAACTTTACATCAGTTTTTTTTATTAACTAAGACAAAATACAGACTGTGGCATCTTTATAAACAGTAAATGCACAAACAAAAACACATCACTGCATTTGAATCCACACCATGTTCCCCATAGCTGAACAGATGACACATAATACTGGCCATAACTTTTAGATCATCTCATTAACTGACACTTGTTATCCTCTTGTAAAAACAGAGACTCCTGACGGAACGGAGACGTAAAATCAAAGACATTTTGACGCAGTCATACCTGATTTTATGGCAGTGTGGTAGAGAAGAAGGCAAACTCTGAGACACAAAGGCTTTTCAGAAGAACTGAAGAAAACAGGATTCGTTGTCATTTTACAACACGTTACTGTAAAAACCCATCAGTTCACTAATAGACTGCGTGTCCTGCTGATGCATGTGGTAATATTGCACTACAAAGTCCTCAGGCTAATTGAGACAAAAATCTGTTTGTTTTTATTTAAATAATGTAAAACTCTTCTTCAAATAGTAAAATAAAACTTGAAAAAAGATATAAACTACAACCTCAATTCTAAAACGTGGGACAAAATGTAAATTAAATCAAACAGAATGCAGTGATTTGCAAAATCTCATAAACCCACACTTTGTTCACAAAAAGTAAAAATAAATGTTGAAGCTAAGAAATTGTGTTATTTTTGTTTTAATTTTAAATAAATTAATATAAAAAGGTTATCTTGAATTTTATGGCAGCAAYATGTCCCCAAAATGTTGTAAATTAAGTGGTATGAACTAAAAAACTAGCTGGACCTGTTGTTAGTTTTCCATTAGTTCASTTTGAAAGGGGGCGGGATCGTCTGTGGTAAATCAGCCAATTGAAGGCAGAGTTACAGCTCTGTCTAACTTGT